GATTTTCACAATAACATTAGGCGGAAATTCAATTAGACTTATACCTTGAATGATTAGACTTCTACCATATCAAGATATTTGTCTTGAGCGATCCATAGGAGAGATGTCAGTGTGGAGGAAATAGATTTCTCTCTCTAGCCTTTTGCACGTTTAGAAAACCCTAATCCTTGTCTTCATCAGTGTACACATAAGATGGGTAAGTGCACTATTATAGGCAGAGAGAGGACCCGTTTCCTAGTGAAGCCCATAATCAATTACCACCCATCACGGTAATAATAGGAAACTACTTCTCTTTATTTGACCAAAATAATTATTCTGAATAATATTTATTAAACCAATTAAACAATTTATTTACCACATAGGTCACTTCATGTGGGCCACACAGAATATTTATAAAATATTCTTACAATTTCCCCAGGGAACTGATTATAAGATAGGTCAAGATAGATGAGTTTGGAGAGGGAAGTGATCTGAGGTGGGATGGCACCAAAGAGTTGATTCAAGCTGAGGTCAATGTATTCAAGATTAGGGAAGGCCAGGAATGTAAATTCATATAGCGTACCTCATATGCCAGAATTGGTGATGTTGATCCTGGTTACACTTCCAGCAGTGTTGCATGAAATACCAGTCCAGACATTGCATGGGGTTGCATTTGCTTTTGGATAGTAACCCCATGAGGTCAGATTAGTCTTGGTTTGATTTTGGAAGCTAGCTTTCCATTTGAGAAGTGCCTCTGCTTCAAGAGAGGAAATCGCAGAAGCAAATGCAATGTTTGGGGATGAAAACAGCTCAACATACAAGAAAAGGCAAGCTAGAGAGCTTAAAGATGGCATGGCTTTTATTTCCGAATACAGTCTTATGGTTGAAGGCTTTATTTATAGCTATTATTCTACCTGCCCTGTTTCTCTTTCCGAAATAAATCCAGGGATTCACAAGTCCTTTTGGTTGTGGTTAGTCTTTCCTACACCTCAGTTAAAGCCATTGTCTGACATGTCCATAGTTTAAAAGCAAATTTTGAAATTTTCTTGTTGAACTTTATTGATGAAATCAATGGAAGGATAATTTGGATCCTTGGCAGTGTCCCTTTTTTGTTTCTGGCTGTCGAGCAACATAACATACCATGTTGAAAATTTGACAAGACGCGGTTCCACAACTAATAGCGCCGGACCTCTCTTGTGATATAACAACTGAATACTAGTATGCAGAAGGTTTTCTCATTCATATTATAGATATATAAATAAACAACTTGATATTTTCTAGGATTGTTATGTATTGTATGTTGAATCATCAACCAAACTATATTATGTTGGTTTTTTATCAAGTTTATCAGTTAATCTTCATGAGTCATACTCCTTTATGATTCGCACCCAAAAGAAAGATTTAACAAACGCAAAGGGCAAACCACAAAGCAAACGGAAAAGCAAAAGCAAAGGAAAAGAATTAAAATCTATTATGGAGCGCTCCTTGTGGTGATTTCTTCTGAGCCACGCTCATACTAAAGTTTCCATCATCTTTTTAGGTGTCCTGAAACAAATCCTTCCCAAAACCCGCTCTCTAACACTGCTTATATTCTCTAAATTTGGGTCTACATTGTCTTTGACGAAGGTTGCTGCAAAATCACCAAATTGTTC